CACAGAACACTTTAAAGTAAAGCACAGACCCTGAACCTATCAGTTCTGGCTACCTATATAGAAACCTGAACCTATCAGGTAGGTACTAACTGACACACAGTTGTACTCAGTCTGACACACAGACTCCCACTCCTCACTCCTCACACAAGCTCCAAATATATATATAGTACAGCTCCTCCTCCCTGATGTCCCGCCTTCCACTCCCCATAGGATGGAACTTTCCCTCCAAACCCATGACAGACAGGTACCATCAGTGCTGTATGTAACACCGCTATGTTCACTTTGGACCAGAAACTGAAAGATAAGTTAAAATCATAGGTAGTTGATTTTTCACCATTGAATATAGGCAAATTGGCCAATAATCTCTTCAATTTATAGTTTCCTAGCTCATTTTTTGGCGGGGGGAAAGGCTCAATACTTATCAGCACCCCCTCTAATTACAAACAAACATGCATTGATTTCTGAATACCCTGTTTCCCTGAAAATAAGACCTAACCTGAAAATAAGCCCTAGTATGATTTTTCAGGATGCTTGTAATATAAGCCCTACCCACAAAATAAGACCTAGTTAAGTGAAACCCCGCCTTCTACCATTGTGCAGCAACAACAAGAAGATAACATGACTGTATTTGAATAAATGTAGATTGTTGTACATAAAAAAATAAAACATCCACTGAAAATAAGCCCTAATGCGTTTTTGGAGCAAAAATTAACATAAGACCCTGTCTTATTTTGGGGGAAACACAGTAATACCACATAGGAGGCACAGAACTACACATGAAGGCTTAGGGTAATAACTACAAAGAAGTAAAATGTTATCATAGAAGTGAAAAATCTGGTATGTAATGAATTAATTTTTGAAAGTAACATCCTAAGTGCTGGCATTGTGGGTATGTACAATGATATGTACAAGAGAATACAGCTTTGCCCAAATCCCTATATTTCTGTTTTCTTCTTTTCCTCTGTAGGTGCTCCAATGGACCAGCCATGCTGTCGAGCTCTGTATGACTTTGATCCAGAAAATGAAGGGGAGCTTGGCTTTAAAGAGGGTGATGTCATTACCCTCACCAACCAAATTGATGAAAATTGGTATGAGGGAATGCTGCATGGCCAGTCAGGGTTTTTCCCCATCAACTATGTAGAAATTCTTGTTCCTTTGCCTCGTTAGGACAGCTGAGTCACCACGTCTTGAACCCCCCACTCCCCTTACCAAAAAAGTCATGTGTTAATACCACTGCTTTTAACAATAAAGATATGAATCAATAAAATGGCTGCTTGCTCCACATCACAAGAACAAGCTGCAGTGGTTTAGCTAGTCATCAGGCCCCACGGACAATCTTTGGTTTTCGTGTTGTCAGATGCACAGTGGTGATTATGTGCTATCTTCCCAAAGTGATGGAGCCAGACATGTGGGTTCTTCCATTACCTCAGTGTTGCCTCAGAAAAGTACATACAGGAGAAGGGAAGTGGGTGGTAACTGTTGGTGTGACTCAGTCATAGTGTTGTGGAAGGGGGGAAATGGTAAAATATCTTCTTTGGTAAGATAAAGTATATCACCACTCTATTGCCATTTAGTTCTATAGAAAAAGAGGAGGAAAATATCTTTGATCATTTCTGAAAATATACTGTTTAAGCAGATCTAATAATGGCAAACCCGTTCTTTGTACTTTTTCTTGACCAAATGACCAAGGAATCCTCTCCTTGGGGAAACGGCAAAATACTGTATATTCCACTTTCCCTGCTGTTGGCTTTTATCTGTTAGATTGGAGTGGGCATAAAAATTAGGTTGGGATCTGAGGCCTCCGAGAATGATTTGAGGTAGTTTGCTAAGAGTTCCTAACTTTTAAGAGTTCAGACAAGAGCAACAATAGTGTTATTGCCACCTATATTAGGCTGCTGAAATGAAGAGAGCTGATGTTACCCAGAAAAGGTCTTTCATGTGAAAGGACTGTGAACTCAGCTCTTTTCTGGTACTTAAAAGAAATTCCAAGGCTCAGAATGCACCGAGAAGCATCCTGATCTTTTCAAAGGATACAGCCTCCTTCTCCTGGATCAGGTTGGTCTAGAGAAGTTCAAGAGCTTCTGGAAGGAGACCACCCTGGCTTTTTCAAGTTTCCAGGCTAAATTTTAAATGTACAGTCATGCCCCGCTGGACAATTACCCCGTTTAACAATGAATCTGCTTAACATTGATGTTTTTGCGATCGCAAAACAATGGTTTAAATGGATTTTTTCGCTGTGCGATGATCGGTTCCCTGGTTCAGGAACCGATTTTTGCTTTGCGATGATCAGCAAACAGCTGATCATCGGGTTTCAAAATGGCCACCGGCTGAAGAAAATGGCTCCCCTCTTTTTTTAGGACTGATTTTTCACACTACAGGCACCCTGTGGAGGATCTTCGCTGGACGAGCAGGTATTTAGCCCATTGGAACGCATTGAACGGTTTTCAATGCGTTTCAATGGGTTTTTTAATTTTGTTTGATGACGTTTTCGCTCTACAGTGATTTCGCTGGAACGAATTAACGTCGTCAAGCGACGCACCACTGTATTGGAAGGTCAAACCAGGACAACAAAGGACTAGGGTCACAGGTTCCATGTGGCTGCTCACAAATCTTGGACATAAAAACCTATAATTCTAGCAGCAAATATATGATGTTAGAAGATTAGGAAAATAATAAAATGTAGCAACTTTCACTCTAGGCACAAAAAAAGAAGTCTCTTATTTTAAAACAGGAAACCATATTTCTGCATATTCACTGAAAATAGTAAGTATGAAATGCTATTCACACCTATTTTTATTTTCATCTTCCTAGTGTTCTTTCAACATCATTTCTGTATATTTTGCCCTCAATGAGGACTAAAGTTTAAAAAAAAGATTGTGCTGAGCAATGAAAGCAACATGTGGCTATATATGCAAAAATCTTTGAGTTGTTTTTCTGTCCACCTATATATATTATGTTTTAATCCTACTTTTTGCATTGTGTCTGTGTGTGTGCACGTGTAGTGAACTGTCTAACTAATTCACTGTTCTTTTTGATAACTGCTGTAGGAGTTTAAGCTGTGTTCTCCAGAGTTCTATTTATCTATATATACTTGTACAGATCTTCTTGCGCTGCTTTGGATGTGCCACTTCAGTATTGAACCATGTGAAAAGAAGGCAATACCTTTTTTCGCTTTTAATGTGTAAGCTATATATTGGAAAGCATTGATATTTCAAATAAAAATGCTGACTGACTGGCTGAAATATGTGTAATTTTCTTTTTTCTTTTATCATCATTGATTTCTCATGCTATTACCACAATTTCCCTAGCCCCAGAGCTTGGGAAAATATGTGTGTTTCAGACTATACTTCCCGGGGCCTTTTAGCCACACCATGCCTGCTGATGGTTGCGAGGTGCTGGGAGTTGAAGTGTAAAAAAGTAACTTTTCCAGCCTCTAGGTCATATGCCAGATGCAACTTTGTATGTGTAGACTGTGAAAGGTGTTCAATTAAGTCATCCATTCTGGGTAATGGGTATGGATCTGGGACGGTGACACTGTTTAACTTTCTGCAATCAAAACAAAATCTCACTTCATCAAGAATTTCGCCTAACACATCGCGTTTCGGCACTAGGACCACCGGTGAAGCCCACGGAAGTTGCTGCTCACACAGGGCTGTTTAGCACGAGGCTACACATCACTTTTAAAGCATCTGTGTCCCTAAAAAAATAGTAAAAATCCATAAATCCAAGAAAACAAATAAAAACTAGTTAAAAAGGCAAATAGGCAGATGCCTCCCCTATAATCTATAAAGGTAATCCATTAGGAAAAGTAAAAAAGGTAAAGTCATTCTGAGAACCCTAAAGTCACAGCACTGACAATTAGCCAGACTGGGTGTAGGTATCCAAAAACAGAAGGCAAAGTCATCCTTGGATCCTGAAATCTCAGGTATGACACAGCCAAGCACCCAAAACAAAAGGAAATACAGCAATAGGATTCTGTGAGAGCGTTCCTTCACTACTATTCTGTAAAACCTTGAAAATGATCACTGGCCATTCCTGTGACAAACACGGTTCCCTGGAGAACGCGTGAATGCTCGGACAGAGAGTAATCAGGAGATTGGACACTCTAAAATTTGCTGAGTGAGTCCCAGAACCCAGCTAGACGTATACAACTCTCCATCTTACAAGTCTGCCCTAATATGACCACCATTGTCCCCTCAGATATTACTGTTAGAAAACCATGTGGGCTTTGTAGTCCTTAGACTTATCATGCACCACAGGCAGGACTCCTTAAGTATGCTAGGCTGAGGCAAGCACCATCAGATGACCTATGACAAGTTTACTGTTCAGGAAACCAATTGATTTTTTATAATCATTTTTTTATTAAAGAAAAAGTAAGTTCCTAAATGCCAAAAACAATCTAAGTCATAACAAGCAAATAAGCATTGTGCTGGTTATTTACAAAGCTGTAGTGAGGCAAAGAAAACATGGAAAATAGACAAGTGTTCAAAAACATTACAAGAATCCAAAAAGCTAAGAAAAATCATAAAAACAGTTCCAATAAGGTAATCCATTAGGAAAACAAAATAGTCCAATTAGGTAAGAAAAAGTCCATAGTCCTTAATAATCCTGTAAATGAAAAATACTGTACAAAAAGAAAAATCCTGTAAAAGAAAATGTCCCATTGTCCTGAGAATAATCCAAGAGAATAGTCTATAGGGGTAGTCCATAAGAATTGTCCATGAAAAGAATCAAGAATATTCCCTGAGTGCGTGTATGAATAATCCATGTGTGTAGGTCACGGGTAAGTCACGAATGACATTGTCCATAGGTCTTTTTTTCAAGAGTAACTGGTAAGTCCTTATCTGCCCTTCCCACGATGTCATCCAATCACAGTCCGTCGTTAGGTAAACAGTCCTGTTATACCACCTGACCTTCTCTGCCATAGGTAACAGATGTTATTTGGGTTTCTGTGGTTTTGCGAAGAGTCACAACAATACCCATCTATCTGATCACGAAGTTCTTTCTCATGCTCTCAGAATAGCATTCCCCTGGCTCTCACTAGCAAACAACCTGTCAGCATAGCAAAGATCCTTTATACAGAGAAACAAGATGGAACCTCTCTTGCACATTTCTTAATTACAAAACCCATGTCCCTTACAAGATTTTAACCACATATTTCATCTCATCACACCATTCACAATTGATCCTAAACAGTTTACCTGTCTTCCAGGGACCTTTCTTAAAAGAGCACCCCAGATTCTAGCACACATAGCCACAGCCATAAGATCTAATCCTTGCAAACAGTGCTGCCTAAAAAGCTGCTGCTCACACAGGGCTGGTCAGCACGAGGCTACACATAAGTTTTAAAGCATCTGTGTCCCTCTGCCATTTCACTTCCACCAAAACTTAGCTTGTGGATCAGAACCACGCAAGCTGTAAGATAGAACAAAAATGGCCATCCTGAGGTACTACAAAATCCAGCACGCGGTTCATCCCACCGCTGCCACCATGTCACGACCAAGGGTCCGCTAGAGGACACCTGGACGGCGGACAGAGAGTAATTAGGAGTTTGCACACCCTTAAAAGTGCTGAGGGAGTCCTGGAACCCCAACAAGGCATGTACACAACCCCCTCTTACAAGTCTGCCCTAATAAGAACTCCACTGTACCTTAGGATATTTCTGATAGAAAACCATGTGGGTTTTGTAGTCCTTAGACTTACTATGCACCACAGGGCAGGACTCATTAAGCAAAACAGGCCGAGGCGATACCATCATGGATGACCTATGACCGTTTACTGTTCAAGAGACCAATTGATTTTTATAATTATTGTTTTATTAAAGAAAAAAATCCATAAAGTAATATGCTGTTATGCAAAAGCATGCAAATAATCATTTTGCTGGTTAACTACAAAACAGTAGTGAAGTAAAGAATTCATGAAAACTATACAAGTATTAAAAATAGTAAAAGATTCAAAAATCCAAGAAAACAAATAAAAACTGGTTAAGAAGGCAAATAGGAAGATGCCTCCCCTCTAATCCAACCAGGTAATCCATAAGGAAAAGCAAAATGAAGAAAATAGTCCAAATAAGTATAAAAGTCCAAAGTCCATCATTGTTCTGTACAAAGGAAAAATCCTGTAAAAGAAATATCCTATTCTATTAATTCTACTACTGCTATAAACTAAGCCATCTTGTTCCCAACTTCCTCATCATCATCCCTTTTTCAAGCTTAGCTGGCATATCTTTATCCTCCACTTCTCACGGTGACATCCAATCACGGTACGTCGTTGGGTAAATAGTCCTTCTTTACCTCCTGTCTTCCTTTCCCATGGGTAACAGATGTTGTTTGGATTTAGTGGTTTGCAGTGAGTCACAACAAAGTCCATCTATCTTATCATGGAATGTTTTTCTCAGGCTTATAGAAGAGCATTCTCCCATCCTCCTACCAGCAGATACTTTGTTAGCATTGCAAAAATCATCTATGCAGAAAACCAATATGGAATCCCTTTTACATTATTCCATACTACATAACCCATCTTCAGTACAAGATCTCAACCAAACAACCCATCTCATCACATGCCTCCCAAAAAGTTATACCAAAATCCAGAACAGTTAATGTTCTTATTTTGATAACTGACTACAATGAGATGCAGTAGGTAGTTATTTACAAGGTGTAGAAAAATGACTTATTCCTATACAGTAATATACTAAACTAATAAATTTCAAATCTGCCTCTAATCTAGCAAAGCAATTGAGGTAGGAAAAATATTCTAATAGCAGCATTTAAATACATAAGAGAGAATTGGGTTAAGCACTTCTACTAATCTGAAAAATAGAAAAATAAACATGTTAGCATGAATCATCTAAAATATATCACTCTGTATATGCTCAGATAACAATCCAATAGTAAAACAGTGAAATAATGAAACAATGGTTAACATAATATAGACTTGGTAAGCTAAATTACTATTAAGAAGAAAAAATGAAAAAAGACACTCTATGTATGCTCATGAATATCATAATACACCATTTCAGGAAATTGATACATCAGATCTTCACCACTCTAACCATCTTCAATCTCCGAATTTGCACAGAACATTCTTGACAAGCTGTGAGCAATTAAGGCCTTTCTGCCCGGCATGTGTTCGATAGCAAAATCATATTCTTGCAATTTAAAACTCCACAGCCTTAATCTTGGGCAATGATCTTTTTGTCTATG